ACTTATAATCAGCCCTTATCCTAAATTGTTCTTACAGCCTGACAGTTAATAGTCTCGTTACGTAACACTTACCCTCAGGTGTTGTTCTCACACCTTGAGAACTGTAACAGCTGTTTGACTAACATTTGTAACCAATACTCATCTCATATGCTGTTCCAAAAACTTAGCAACTATAGCAGAAGTAACTAATACCTGTCACAACCAGCACTTATCACAAGTTTTTCACAGATCTTGTCAATGTCTTTAGAAATTAGACTTCTAATTCTATCCTGATGAATGTTAACACTAACAGTACATTTTTGGTACTTCTACAACCATTAATGTCTACCTTTACTTAGCTTTAAACGATAGGTAAAATAGTTAGTGTTTTTGCTATTTTTATAAGAAAATAACAAAAGTTCTATTGAAATCAAATTTTAGATATTCAAAAACATACTTATCCTCCACTACCACTTTTGCTATTCTTCAACGTTGACTTTGCCTACCTAAGCATTGGTTTCGCATACTCCAATCTTTTACACTCCACTTAAATGCTCTTGGCAACATCCAATTTGCAAATCCCTTCACTTGTGTCAATGCGTCTTCTCTCCTGACACTAGAAAAAAACCTCAATCAGATAACGTAATTACTTTTTCTTGACAAAGTGTTGGTTACGTTTTTTTTCTGACGAAGAGTTATCATTCGTTCCATTATGGATTGCAGTTTTGGCGTCGCTTTGTGAATTTCTGTATGAATATAATTGAAAAAAAATTAGACGTGATACTTGCGGGTACGAATTCCTGTATTTCCGTTGTCAACATGGCGGTTAATCCGATTTCCCCTATTCCTCCTTTGTTATCTAGCATCTCTCTACAGTCAAGGGGGTCACTCTCAGTTGACGTTGTCCGTGTTTTGATGCGTTGGGAGATGGAGACATACATCCGGTCCGGGGGTGTTTTCTCTTTGGGCCCCTGAAATTGCATTTTTTTCTTGATCCTGGATATCTGGGGGAGAATTTGGACTCCTTTTCTGATGCTTTTCTATTATATGTTTGTTTCTCATGAGTCCAATTTGGTTCAACCACCTCTTACTCCTTTCCTTCAATTAATCATTTGGGTTATGAGATTTTGGGGCTTTGCTCTATGATCTTTGAGTCTACTCCTCCCTTGATGGTGGAAGAGTCTGGGAGTGGCTGTTTAGTTTTTCATTCTTCATCTGATATTCTTTGTTTATTTTGAGAGAATTACTACTTTATTACATGACGGGATAATATACTGTTACGACAGCGGAAGTCACGTGACTCTGGTAACACGTCATGTGCT